TGTATACGTATTAAAAAAAGGTGGAATGATTGACAGGCTTGTAGCCGATTAGGAATCTGAGCGAACCTAAGACTGTGATTTGATTGGTGGAGAATCCCGGAGGCGGGACTGTGTTCTTTCTCTGATGTAAAGGCTGTCTGTCCTTGATGACGTTTTCTGAGCTATATCAGCCATTTTGTATCCCGCTCAACCAACTCAGACGGAGAAGAGACTCGACCGAAGCATAAGTGTTAACGTTCACTGTTATTTCATATTTAAATTTGCATTTAACGTCTGCCAGAGTTTCATTTGTTGTGATAGGTGACATCGTTCGCGGATGTCTGACTGAGTTTATTGTCATCGGAAGGTTGACAGTCGTGTCGGACTAATTTTTGTTATCCACCAACTCTAGCAGAAGAGCTAACGTCTTTAGCTTTGTCGCTAGCCCGCACAGTGCTAGCGTTAGCTTCGTAACGCTGAATCTGTGGCGAAATGGCGGCCAACAAAACACAAGCAACACCAGCAAGTAACTGGTAGGTCGCTTTCTCTAGCCTCACAGCAAGTGGTCCAGTAAATATCGACTTACTCTTGACTTATATGGCAGTCAATAAACAGTGTGGCAGGGGCTGCTGCCACATATAATCTTAAATAAATAGTAATTAGCTGAGCTCAGGGTGTGTAAACGTGTTAGCATACCTAGCTACACACTGGCCGTTTGGCTGATTCACAGAAAGCTTACTTCTTTCTTCTTCGTTTAGTTTATTGGCGAGTGGCAACCACCGTCAAGTGTTAGCGTGTCTGTATTGAAGTTAAATAGTCAATATTAAGGGTCGGTGCTCTGAGCTCAATTCTTCAAACATCGAAAGTTACACCCGTTCAATTTCAAACAACTTTATTTATCTCCAGAGGGTAATTCTAACGCACATGAAGCATGTCAACGGTCCACGGACAGTTTCAAAGTGCAGTATACTAACATTATACAGTCACAGTAGTGTATATGAATCTAAAAGGATGTTGCACAGAATAACAGCTGTGAAGAATGATTTGCATGAACAGATAAATACTGTATGCTTAAAGCTATCGGAGTGCTTTTTATGGCATTTATGATGAAACAGTGACCACTTGCTCATTGATGTTGTTGGAGGGGGCTAAAAGGGTGTTCCAGTCAGTGGATTGGAACCAACCATGTATTGTTGAAATGCTGTCACTGGTTGATTGCGTTGGTTAAGATTCTAAAACACCTTCAATTTTTGTTGTGTGGATGACAGGTCTTACGGTGCTCCTGATGATGGCCAGGTTCACGAAAACCCAGAGTGGGAGAAAGCAAGACAAGCACTAGCCTCCATTACCAAGAGTCAGAGCGCTGCAAAGACAACACAAGCCAACCGGACCACAGCAGAGGTGTGTTTTAATCTCTTTGCGTTTCTATTTCTGTAACACCTTACATTGAAATCCCATTTAGGTGATCTGATTAAAACATACGTGAAAATACGAATGGGGACATTAGAATAATCTGAATAACCCTGTTTGGAGGTGTCAAGCTTATTTACAGGGAATGTATGTACGCTTCCTGATTACATTAAACCTCATCTGTGTGTGTGTGCACAAGTACATTTACATGCTGTCAACATCAAGAGTGCAGCTTAACACAAGTTACAGCAACAGTAGATGCCCATGGATTGTTTTCTTATATCTACGCTGCACTCTTTCGGCAACCACTATTTTAAACATGTATTGTTATACAGAATTAATAACCATCAAAATGGTTAAAGGGTGTTTTATATATATATATATATATATGTGTAAAGTTTGGGAAATTACTATAAACATGATTTATCTAACATGTTCACAATGCTTTGGTTATTTGATTCATAGTTGTGTGTTTTTAAGTTCTTGCTAAATTGTCATTTCCTCTGAGTGGTCTGACCAAGGCTATTTGTGCATGTGTTATTTCAGGCCGGTCAGTTCCAGCCAGCAGTGACCGACTCAGTTCCCATGCCGCCGCCGCAGCAGCAGCAGCAGCAGTACTATCCATGGTACCAACAAACCCAGCAGCACTACCCTGGATACACATACCCCTATAACTATTACTACCCCATGGGTCCAGTAAGTAAAGGAAGGAATTTTCTTCTTATCAAAATTTTATTTCAAAGACTTTTAATACAATCTCCAGGACCTGTACTGACTTCAACACTCTTAGCTACACAAGGCTTGTATGTCTATGTGTTCCAAAATATCAAATGCTGAGGGAATGGGATGTGGTTTAACAGTTACAAAATGATGGTGATAAAAATGACAATGCAGCTTTTTCCCCCTGAATTTTCAGTATGGAGCTGCATATCCACCAAATCAGTATGGTGTACCTCCAGGGCCTTACCCAGGAACTCCTTTAGCCAATGGCCAGGTATGTTGCAAGAATTTTCTTAATGAAGCAAAATATTCTAGTAATTCATGGACACAATAATTACATCACCTGTCTGATCATAGACCTTAAAGAGTGAATGATTGAATATAACTTTATTGTACACCGAGGGCGAAAAATTGCGTTTGGCTCACCAGTTAGATCAGACATTAGATCAGACATAACATGTTGTGGTTGCATAGTTAAACTATGAGAGATTGAGTGGATGAATATGCTCAGTGACCCTGTGTATCTTCAGATGAGATTATTTTATCATATGAAATTTGTTGAAATTGGTGTTTGGTGTAAATCAAAGTGACTTTATTCCTCTGGGCTCTCTGTACCTTTTGCAAAAATAGTATTTTTCCTTCTTTTTGAATATAGCCTCCTCCAGTGCCTGGAATGGAAGACCAGTCCCCCAGCTACCCCTCTCAACCACAACCCCCACCCCCTGCTACTCCCCAGCCCCCCCAGAGCCCAACCACCTCAGAGAAACCCCCTCCCCCTCCAACCCCCCCCATTCCTCCCTCACCAAACTCCCAGTACCCTCCCCCTCCATCACAAAATGCTTACAGTGCCAACAACTCCATGCCATACCCACCTGGTGACCCAAACCAAATGCAACACTATAATCATTCCCAGGGTAGGCCTAACTATGGCCAGGGCTTCCAGCCCCAGAGCACCTATCAGTCCTCTCAGAGTAACTCTCAACAGCCAGGCCAGTATGTACCAGGATTGGGCAGAGGAGAGGCCAACAAAAACCAGAAACAAGGACAACAACTGTGGCATCGCATGAAGCGTAAGTTTTATTCTTTTGAGATTTAGCTTACTTGTTTCCACATTTGAGTTACTGCAGAGTTTTATTTCTTTAAAGTTGCCCACGCTTTATTTCTATTATGTATCAACAATTGTCATTTGTGGGCAATAGTAAAGTGTGATAAATCTGTATTGTCAGTGCAGGTTTGAGAGGAACATTTCAGATGGAATGCAGAACAAATTATTTTGTGCGATTATATCCAAATATCAGTTTTGGTATAAATAATATGGTAGTGTTAATTTCTTATTTTTTTTATTTTGTCAGAGGCACCTGGGGCAGCTGGTGTGAAGTTCAATATTCCCAAGAGGCCTTATCAGGTACAGTGTTCTCCAGCATCCAATCAGGCTTTCCCTCCAGGCGAGCAGCCCTCAGGAATAAATCCATCTCCGTCCTCACCAGCTACTGCCAATGCTGCACCTGGAGGTGCTCAGACACGGTGAGAACTGAGAACATTGTGGGGCAGACTAAAAATGCTACTTTCAGACATGCACTGTAAACCTGAACATTTTAGACACTACCATATGGTGTTCAAATCTAAATAACCAAATCAGTTGAACTAGACATTAAATAGACTTTAGCCTGCTAGCTTCCTACTTCCATGTCTGTGTAATATTTAATTGAGTGGATGTGCAAACAGATAAAGGGCTGAACACAGCTAGCTAACAATTAGTTGAATTGAAATATGATGCAATTAAATGAATATGTCAACTTCCAAAACGTTTCCATGTCCAGTCATATACTAGGTTTTGACTTGGTCTTTTTGATTGTTTAAATATATGTATAATATATTTACTTTAAATTCTTCACACCAGACCCCAGGACTGGCCCCAAGCCATGAAGGAATATGTGCAGCGTTGTTTTACAGCATGTGAGACAGAGGAAGACAAAGATCGCACAGAAAAGGTGCTAAAGGAAGTCCTGCAGGATCGATTAAAGGACGGATCTGCTTACACCATTGACTGGACTCATGAGCCTCTGCCAGAGTGAGTTTTGTATTGGTTTAGTGCTTTTTGTGTGTGTATGTTAATCAGTAATAGGACAGCAACAAATATTAATTTGCAAAACATTTATCTGGTTAGTTTAGTACAAAGGTGAATTCTTGTTCAAACCTTAACCAACCTTAACAATGTTTGGCTTTCTGTGACTTATTGATTATGTTGCCTGCAGGTTGAGAACGCATTAAGATTTAGATCTTTGTTTGTGTTTTAGACTAAGGGCCAAACAGTCGCGTTGGGAAGCTGTCCCATCCCTGAGGAGCTCGGATGGCTCGATTGGCCGTGGTGGAAGTACAGTGGCCGCATCTTTGAGAGGCAGGGCCGGAGGACACAGGTTGGGCCACTACAGGAATATATTTTCTCAAAGGAGTCCATCCTCGAGTTCCTCCCGTTCCTCCTCCCGCTCTCCATCCCCCTCTCATGGCCGACACAGGGACCGCAGCAACCAAAGGCACAGGAGAAGGTAGCGTACTGTTTCTCAACTTTTTTTCTTGATAACTGCAGACTCAAAGTGTAGTTTTTTTTGTTTTTTTTTAAGTGTTTAGTTTCCCTGTACTTTCAGTGATTCTGGCTCACAGTCAGACAGCAGCATCTCCAGTGACCTTCGTCCTCAGCTGTCAAGACGAGGTCAGAAAGGAGCCCGTGGTCGTGGTAATGACAGGGATAGAGGCCGAGGGGGTAGAGGAAGAGGAGGAAAAGCCAATAGAGGAAGACGGTAAATTTCTAGATATGTTCATATAAAATCCTAACAAACCCTTACTTTCAACTGACCTTTCTTCAAGAAGGCTATACTGAAGAAACAATTATTTTCTAACAAAAAAAACACATACCAGAAAATAGCACAGAAAAGGTACAGTATCATCTCTGCACTATTTATAACATTAATATACAATATCTAGCCTGGAAACAGAAGAACATTATACATGAGACTTAACATCAAAAAGACAAATATGTTCCTCAAATATGAAGTGTCTGGTTCTCATCTTTTCTCCTTTAATAAAAGACAAATTAAAATAATGTTTTTCCTACCCTGTGCCATGTGGACAACCTTGTAAATAACCTTTTACCTGTTCTCCTAGAAACATGGAAGAAACTGGTGGAAAGAAGAGGAAAGGAGGAAGTGCCGGTCTGGATTTCCATGACCCCAACAGAGAAGCCAAGAAACAGAGCAGAGCAGCTCGTTTTCACAAGCAGCTCCGTTTAGAGCCCCTGGTTCTCTCTATCAATACACTAGACCTGCCTAATGGTACACAGGAGGGCCTCAGCTGGGAGGACTGTCCCATTGTGGGAACATGTCAGGACATCACAAAGCACTACCTGAGGCTCACCTGTGCCCCTGACCCTGCCACTGTGCGCCCTGTGCACGTAAGTTGTCATTATTTTCTAAATATTATCATATTATTCAGAGATAAGGGGTGGAGTAAGAGGACGAAACCTTGTTACTATGTGTGGACATTTCTAAGCTTGTACATCACAGATCATAAAGACTTTGAAATATAACATTTATTTTCCACTCAGGTGTTGAGAAAATCTCTGCAGGCTGTGAAACTCGACTGGAAAAACAACCAGGACTACACATACGCCTGTGAGCAGATGAAGTCCATACGACAAGACCTCACGGTTGGTTATTTTCATAAAGTTTCATTTGTCTTTCTATCTTTGTCCTTTTTTAAATGTTAACTTTAATCTGGCTGGGTTTTTCTGGTATTTACTTTTTTATTTATTTTTCCCTTTATTCATCTCTATCCAGGTCCAGGGAGTTAGAACAGAGTTCACAGTGGAGGTGTACGAGTGTCATGCACGTATTGCTCTCGAAAAGGTGAGTCTCTTGACCTCTAGTTGAGCTACATTAGCTAAAGATGACAGAATTTTAATACTCTGTATATTTATCGTCTTTAGGGAGACCATGAAGAGTTCAATCAGTGCCAGACCCAGCTGAAGGCCTTGTACAAGGACAATCCATCAGAGAACATAGGAGAGTTTACAGCATATAGATTGCTGTATTACATCTTCACCAAAAACTCTGGAGGTAAGCCCACATTGTTGTCTTTTGAGTCACTATTTCACATCACATGTGTTGTTACTGTTTCTACATTTTTCTCACCACATTTTAACGCTGACCCTTCATTTTCCTCTCCAGATCTGACCACTGAGTTGGTGTACTTGACACCGGCATTGCAGGCAGATAAGTGTGTGGCTCATGCTCTTGCACTCCGAGCGGCCTGGGCTTTGGGGAATTTTCGGCGTTTCTTTAAGCTCTACCTGGAAGCACCACGAATGGCTTCATATCTCATTGACAAGTTTGTAGAGAGGGAAAGAAAGGTTGCTCTTCGGGCCATAGTCAAAACGTAAGTCATGTTAAAGCCTCATGTATTTGCACATTGTAGCACCTCATAGCATGCACTGACCTTATATTTCTCTATTTCCCTTTCTGCAGGTTCAGGCCTGACGTGCCAGTCCAATATGTGCAGTCCACTCTGGGCTTCCCTTGTTTAGACTCCTGTGTGACCTTTCTTACTGGGCTAGGTGTCACCTTCACCCCCTATGACCCCGAAAAAATAGACTGTAAAACCAGCACCACAGCTTTGGCTACAACCTGAGTGGGTGGGGGATTAGCACAATGTGGGGGAGCCACTAAGAGACTCTCATGGATACTTACGTATTCAATGCACTGCACTTTAGTCACCGTAGTCAGATCAGATACGATTCAGATTTATAAACCCCATTGATAAGGAGAAATTCTAACACATGTAGCTGAAAGAATGAGATTTCAGAATGCAGGTGCAATTATTTGGAACTCTGATAAGAACAGTTTTAAACATGAGGGAGACTATTTGCACACTCAGCTTTTGCTGGTTAGCCTAATTTCCAACTTAACACAATAATTATGATGCAAGAAAAGTGAATCAACAGTTAAGATTGGGAAAGTCTCAGCACTTAGATGCCAATAACAAGATCAGGGTGGCACCCCCCCCTTTCATGGTTCCTGTTCCTTTACGACCATCAGGTGTCAAAGCTAACAGTTTTCTGTTATGTCTTTTCCTTCCTCAAGTCAACAGATTCAAGCCATGTCAATCAAAAAGGGAAATGCACAACTCTTCTTCAAGTCACTTATCCGGCGCTCTCTTTATTGAAGTCAAGCCAAACATTGAATCAAGTCAACTTCACATTATCCCCTCAGAGACTGTGAGACGTCCAGGTGAGAAGATGCAGTTTGTTTGCAAGAAGAAGAAGTGGTGGTTTGTATGTCCTGCCCTGCTTGCCATTTCCTCCATGTATGATCTGCACCAGGGGGTTCATCCTGTTCCCAAAGCATTCTATTTGAAAACGATGGACTGAAGTCTAAAGTCACCTGATTTTATTCAGAACTATTAATCCGCTGCGTCAGTTATGAAATGGTTATCCAGGATTGGGAAGACGTCTCAATCTGTTGAGCATTGACTCTGTATGATAAAGGATACAGGCCAGTGTTCTTCATCAAGGTTGTATCATCGCTCCCCCACATTCTGGAAGCTAAACTCCATCGCCAGGATCCAAGCAGTTTGAGGCAGAAGCGAAAATCTGTTTCCATCATCCTCAGGTAGAAGTTCCTGTCAGCACCTGGAATCCAGCTCACCTTGGTCAACACAGCAAAGTGCCCCAATAACGTCATCTTAACTTCACCAGCTAATATGCAGTCTTCCAGCTGAAGGTGAATATTGGATGATGGAGCTTGGAGGGGCAACACGCTGCTGCTTCTCAAAGGAATAACGACGAGTGGTTTGTATGCTACATCTGTAACTGGTATTCACGTGACTGGTAAGAGAAAGGGACTTCTCTAGAAGGAGGTGGATGATGACAATATCTCCTGTGTTTTGTTTTAGTCTTGTATAGTTTTTTTTTTTCCCTTTTTTTTTTTTGGAACAGCAAAATTAATTATTCTGACAAGAAAAACAACCTTTTGTCAGACTGAAGAAAAGATTGAGGAATGTTTCAATGTCATCAAGGAGTTGAAATCCAAACACGTTATTTTAAAACTGTAATTAATTACAGAGGGAGATGAAGGCGGAGTGCAGCCTTTTTCCCTTTATGAAATATTTCTTTAAGTTAACAGCTATATTTATTGTGGTACAGACCAGTTCCTCTGAAGTGGCAGTGAAAATGTAGCAGACTTAATTCTCTGATTTGATTCAGCCCATTTTTTTCTTCAGGTTTGTGACTTGAAGGTGCACATACATTTTACCAGTTGAACTTTGTACAGACTTTATATAAGTGATCCAAATTTAAAAACTCCAATTGACATGTTTCATCATTAATTGAGTTGTGGTCTTAAACAGTATTAATAACCATGGAAGAAAGATTGACGTGTTAAGTCTTAGGTTTAACTGACCAGAGCACAAGTTGAATGCAGGCTTTCTGTAAAATTTGCATTTATTTGTCTTGTGTAAATATTGTATGATAATGATTTCCTTTCAGTTAATGCATTGGTTATTTTTCTCACACATGGGTAAGTGTGAAGGTTTTTTTTCTTGAGTTTCTCAAAACCTTTAAGATATTTCTGTGAATATGTAAAGTAATATGCAGATGGGTCTGAGTTGGATTGTTTGCAGTGTCTTTAACATCATAACAGTGGTTCCTGTGAAATCTCTAAAATCAAATTTTGGCCAGGTGTCATGATCCAATCCTGCTGATGAGAAACATTTTTAAACTTGTCCTCCAGACAAAAGAATCCCACATGGCCACTTTTTATCGCTTCCTGTGAAGTAGCATAGATTTTCCATGACGTTGGCAACGTGATCGTACAAACCTGGATGTTGTGAAGTGTTGTGCAATGACAATGATCTCAACATGTTTTCTTTCTTCCCCCTTCATCTACCTGACCCCCCTCTGTCGTCTTTACCGTTCCCCCCCCTCACTCCCCAAACCTCTCTACACACCACCAGACGTCTCGTTCTCCAGCTCACAGCACTGCTGCATTGCAGGAGCACAGAGCCATGAAAAGTGGGCGAACCTCCTCCAGACGCCAGCCGGAGAGAGAGAGAGAGAATTGTGAGCAAAATCCATGTCTGGTTTTGACCGGCTCAAGTTGAGGCCATTCAGCTGATTTAAATCCATGGGAGCCTCACGTAATGAAATGTGATGAAAATGTTGATCTTCTGCTGCAGATGTGATTTTTGCTACTTAGTTCAGATATTTCAACATGTTTATACTATGAGACACCTGTTTAGTTGTAGACCATGTTTTGACTTAAGCCACAATGTACTTTTCTGTCTGTCCAGATACATTA